AACTGTTAAGCCAGCAACTGGTGAAGCGTCACAGACATTCCGGAAGATCATGAAGGAGAACAGGTATTCCAATAAGAATATACAAAATGCTATCATTGCAGTCTGAAAGGTATTTGTTTTGAATTTCTTCAGTAACAAGCCTCCAAAAAAATACCCAATGCATATAACCGGTAAGTTGTAAACACCTGTTTAAAACAGTAATACCTGTTAAAATTAATAGGAGACTGAGCAAGCATGTGCATGTAATTTGGCAAAGATTCATATAGAGCTTATGGCCCATTAATTTAATTGAATTTCCCTTGCATGCCTGAAAAAACAAAGTTGTGAACTTCTTGGAGATCCAGTGGCTAGGACTGAAATAATTCACTTTGATAGGGGGACTGTGATGAAACCCTGTCTTGTCTTGTGTTGCAATCAGACTACTGTTGTAGACTGCAATTTTCTGAGAGAGCAACTAAGATGTAGGATCATCTAATGGAGCACATCTTTGCATACACAGAGCATGACAGGAAGAAAGAGCACACAGTTTTGGAATGGAATTCATGTACATACACTTCACTTTTTCACAGCTTGACATTTTAACAAAGAAAAGGTGGACTAAGAAATATCTAGAAAGTAGTTTTACACAAATATCATAGATCCTGGTTGCCTTTGCTCAACAGTTAAAGTGGTTCTCTAGGGATTCTTGACAGCTTGTGAACACTGAGAGCATGAGGAAAGGGGAAGAGACATTAAATGAGACCTGACTTCCTCTCAGAGTACTCTGTAAGTGCTCTTTTTTCAGTCCAACTGCCTTTGAATACTTTAAATACTCAAGATGGTCAGACTGAAAAAGAACGCTGCAGTGGTGCAATGGCAGCATAACAGAGATGTATGATAGCTATATGGCTTTGTATGCAGAAGTCCAAAACACTGATGACAGAAGGTATTAGTGGTACTCATAAGGTCTTGAACACTCTGTCGAGTAGTATTTAAAGAAATTGTGGCAGCTATTAAGAAAGCTGAGCATTCGGTTAAGGAACAGAAGTATGGCTTGATGTACTTTAGGATGATTCTTCCATAATAATTTGTCCT